TTTAAGGTGCCACAGCAGTCTCTCTGGTTTTAACTTACCAGTATATTAGGGGGCAGATGGAAAAGGATTAGTACAAAATGTCAGAACCATCATCACATGGAAGGAGAGTGCCCATGTACTATCAGAGGTACTACCAACTATCTTGCAAATAACTTGCAGATCCTACGTGATTTCAACTGTCACCCTCGGCAGTTACATAATAAAGTAGCAGAACTGTTTTCCACAAAATAGGTACCATTAACACACTCTTGCAGTACTCACATGGTGGGAATACCCTGTATCTGGATGGGTGTTGGTTGCTGGATCCCCTTCTTCTTCAGTCCTCGTAGGATTGCTGTAGGAAAAGTTCTGCATAGGTCAATTGTTTAATGGGTGCATGATAGAAACAATGGTAGAACAAGGGCACGGTCACAAAGAGCACTTTCCACATTTATTTTTTACACTCAGATGCGTAAGTCCCAGTACAACATTTACAGAAGTCAAGCCAAATATAGCACTAGATAAGTGCATCCTTAGCTGCTTCTTTCTGCCAATACCTGCAAATGATGGCGGCAAAAGGAAATTGTGTCTCCCATCCTAATGATTTAAGAGAAAGTGGTGTGAAATATATGTCTTCATTAATATTTGATGTAATTGGTGTATGTTTTGGATCATGCTATATGTATCCCAAGTATAGTGACAGAACAGATGGGCAGAAAGAGAAGCTAGGGAGTTTGGAACCATCACCACTAAACTCAAAAATAACTGATTGCTCATCAATAGCACATTTTCTAGCTGGCGGAAGGTAACTAGTGGGGTACTGCAGGGTTCAGTCCTGGGCCCAGTGCTCTTCAACATCTTTATTAATGATCTAGATGAGGAAGTACAAGGAACAATAATCAAATTTCCAGATGATACAAAACTGGGTGGGATAGCTAACACCCTGGAAGACAGAAAGAAAATCCAGGGTGATCTAGAAAAGCTTGAATGCTGGGCTAAAAACAACACAATGTGATTCAATAGAACAAATGCCAAATTCTCCATTTAAGAAAAAGAAACCAGATGCATTGATAACAAAGATGGGAAAGAGATGCCTCAACAGAACTGAAAAAGCAAGAGACCTTAAAGTTATTGTGGACAGCAGACTAAATAAGAGCCAAATATAGCTGGGAAAAGGACAAATGCTATTTTGGGATGAATTACTAGAAGTATCACATCCAACACAGAAGAACTGATAGTTCTCCTATACTCTACATTAGTCAGACCTTATCTAGAATACTGTGTCCAGTTCCCAGCACCAACATTTAAGAAAGATGCAGAAAAATTGGAAAGGCTCCAGAAGAGGGCAATGAAAATATCTGGAAACACTACCCTCTGAGGGGCGACTGAGAGAACTGGGTATGTTCAACCTTGAGAAGAGAAGACTGCAGGGGGGACGGGGAACACATGGTATCACTCTATAAGTACCTAAGAGCTGTCACAAAGAGGAAGGACAAGATATCAGAATGTAGGGCACTGAACAATGAACTCAAGTTGTGACAAACCAGATTCAGGCCAGATATCAGAAAAAGCTTCCCAATTGTCAGAGTAATATGGCTGTAGTTCCAGTTGTGTGCCCTCCCACACCAGAGGCATCCAAAAAGAAACTGAACAGTCAGCTTAGTGGGATGTTCTAAGCTGGTGACCTACAGCAGCAGGGGGTTGGATCTGATGGCCTTCTTGGCCCCTTCCAATTCTGCTATTCTATGATTCATAACCCTCAAATAGGTAACAGAACCCTGCAGGAATCTTTTTCTTAAATCACCACCACAGTCACCTACCTGCTGGGAATTTCATCTCTTTGAAGCTTTTGATAGGGGGTGGAATGCCTTCCCCTTCCACAAGGATGTGGTACTTCTTACGCACACGATCATGCCGTGCCTCTGACATAGCCAGGATGTAACGGGGAACCTTCCAGCTGGCAAGAGAACACACATCAGCAGGGAACTTGAGTATCAGACTGAGGCTACTCATACTGAAATCAAACACAGTCGTCAGCCAGGGAAGTTGTGGTTGTGTTCCTTTTCCTCAGTAGGACGTCATAGGCTGTGATCCATACTTCTGATGGAGATTGCTCACTGAGTAGAAAGTCAGTGCACCCATCAGCACAGGGATGGACAGACTTTAGGCTTGCAGGGCCTACTTTGTTGCCCATCAGAACCCCTAAGTCCACCAACTAGAGCTAAATGCAAATAGTGACTCAGGAAAACAGACTGCAGAAAAAGGTGCCTCTGAGCATATGCCCAACCCGAGAATTTGATTTCAGTACCAAAGCTGATGTCCCCCCTCCTTTTTACTCCTGTCACCCCTTCCCCAAGCTTTCTTAATTTTGGAAGTCAAGTTTGGGTGGGAAAAAAAGTCACTATCATTAAACCACTGAGACACAGAACTCTCTGCTGATCTTCTGCGAATCGCCTGGAGATTCCAATCTACCTTCGGTCTGCCCTGGCCTTAGCATACTTCGGCTCTGTGTGAATTCCATCTTCATCCTTAGTGAAGTAGCAGAGATGCTAACAACAAAAGCCTCGATTTTGCTTTACTTAGCTGGAGACTATATAAAGTTGTAATCATCTTGATGCAATGGTGACTCCAAAGTGTGGATCAGATGCTAAGCAATATGCAAGTCACAACCCATTTTAAAGTGAGAGTCTTTTAGCCCACTTAACATTTTAGTATAAATGGTGGTGCTAGTTTCTGTTGCCTTCAAAAAATCATTGCCACTTTACATTCCACTTGCCTGCACACAGTGCAAATAGTTCACTTGTAACTCTTTAACAAACTATATTTATATCTTGCTTTTTTCCTTCAAGGAACCCAAGGCATTTTATATAACCTTCCTCTTCCTCTCCATTTTATTCTCATGACACCCCTGGGGTAGGTTAGGCTGAGAGTTTGTGACTGGCCTAACATGACCAGATGAGCAGGGACTAGAAACCTGATCTCTTGAGCCCCAGTCCAACACCCTAACTACTACACTGGTATAGGTCCTATTGAAGGAGACTAGTTCCTTTGTCTATGGAATGGCTATCACTGCTAATATTTGTTTGTTTATAGCTTCAATAAATTGTTCAGTTAGCAACAGCTCTCAGAATGGTGTACAGATCAAAAACAATCTAAAACAGTTAGATGGCTACCAACAACAACAAATGATGATGATGATAATAGTACAAGAATAAAAGCAAATCACATGATGCAAACGACCTGAAGGAGAACCAGTATAAAATCCAATGACATTCCATAACAATTTGGTTAACAATTAAAATGCAGGGAAAATAAAAAAAGGTTTTAACCTGGCACTGAAATATGTAAAGATTCAGTTCCAGGTGCACGTCCCTGGGGAGCTGATTCCATAATTGGGGTGCCACAGCCAAGAAGGTCTTTCCCCTTATAGACAACTTCCTTACTTCTTTTAGAGGTGGCTTCTGGAGAAGGACCTCGGTGGATGACCTTAGGGTCTGGGTAGGTGTTTATGGGAGGAGACACTCCTTTAGATATCCTGGCCTTAAATCATTTAGGGCTTTATATCTTAATATAAGCACCTTGAAGTGGGCCTGGACTTCAACTGGTAACCAGTCAAAAGAGAACAGGGCTTATTTGTTCATATCTGCTGGTCCCTGTCAGCAGGTGGGTGCCCTTATTTTGCACCAATTGAAGTCTCCAAACTGTTTTCAAGAGCAACCCTACATAAAGCTCATTACAGTAGTCTAAACGTGAGGTTACCAGGGCATGGATTACCATTGCTAGGTTCTGTCTGTTCAGGAAGGAGCATAGTTGGTATATCAACTGAAGTTGATGGAAGCAGCTCCTGGCCACAGATTGCACCAGGGACAATTCTGGGTTCAGGAGCACCCCCAAAATCTGCACTCTGTCCTTTAGGGAGATTGCAACCCTACCCAGGACAGGGTGAATATCCTCCCTCTGGACTAAGGTTCTGGCTACCAGTAGTACCCCTGTCATGTCTGGTTTAATTTTCAATTTGTTAGCCCTCATCCAGTCCATCACTCCAGCCAGACACTGGTTCAGAACTGTCGCTGCCACACCTAGATTAGCTGTAAATAAGAGGCAGAGCTGAGTATCATCAGCGTAACTTCCAGCCCAAACCTCCTGATGATCTCTTCCAGCAGTCTCACATAGATGTTAAACAGCATGGGGGATAGGATGGAATCCTGCAACACACCATGACATATCTGCAAGGGGCTGAAACGCTATCCCCCAGTGCCACCTTTTGGCTATCCCCAGTACAAAATGCTATCCCCCAGTGCAAAGCAGTGCCGTGCCTCCAACTCCCAACTGAACCAGCCTATCCAGAAGAATACCATGGTCAATGGCACTAAAGATGCTGAGAGGCCCAGGAGAACCAACAGGGACACACTCCCCTTGCCTTACTCCTGGCAAAGGTCATCCACACAGCAACCAAGGCAGTTTCAGTCCTGAAACCAGACTGAAATGGATCCAGATGATCCATTTCCTCCAGGAATGCCTGGAGATGTCCAGCTACCACCCACTCAAGCACCTTGCCCAAAAAGGGAATGTTGGCCGCTGGCCTGTAGTTGTTAATATCCTCTGAGTCAAGGCTTCTTCAAGAGGAGAGCCATGACCACTTTAATGGGGCTGGGACCAGTCCCTCCTTCAGAGAGGCATTTACAACTGCCTGGACCCAGGACCACGTTCCCTCCTTGGCTTTGGTGAGCAGCCACAAGTGGCAAGGTTTGAGAATATAGGTGGTAGGCCGAATTTGTCCAAGCACCTTGTCCACATCATCAGGCCTCACCAAATGAAACTTAACCAATAGATCAGAACCAGATGATGCTCTGGACACCTCCATTAAGGGGAATACCTCAAATGAGGAGTGCAATCTGTGCCAAATCCTAGCAACTTTATCAGTGAGTTAAAGAGGGTTCTACCAGATCTTCCTTTGGGTCAGTGTGTAAAAAGCCACAGACTGCTTGAAAAAGTTCCACTGGACAGCATTGAGAAGAGGCAATGCTGGCGGAAAAGAAAGTTTTCTTTGCTGCATTCACCATCACAGTAATTTAAGAAAATCACAACACAGAGAAAAAGTTATCTGGCTAATACCTACTTAGTCCCAACATCAGATGGAATCAAAAAGTGAAGAGGCAGCTTTGAAATGGCCAATAAAAGAGGACAATGTAACACTGATAAAATTATGCCATAAAAGAGTGGCAGTCTCATTAACCACCACTAATCTGACAAGGTTAAGCAGAAAAAAATATCCACACAATAATATCGATAGCTTCAAGACAAAGTCTAGGTGAGGGATTGATAACATACAAGTCAGTCTTTTTCCTTGGGAATCTTAGCAAGAAAAGTACTCCTGGCATGTGTCTCCAGAAAGGAATTACATAAACCAGAGTATCATTTAAATTGTACTGCAGGAGTACAAGGCCTACCTGGTTTTAATGGGATCATCGTATGTGATGCCCTTCGCCATTTCCTTCACAGACATGAGAGCTGCACAAGAGGAAGACAACAAGCAGTGAGCCCTTTTCAAAGCCAAAGAGCAAGCAGACTCATCAGAAGTAAAAAAACAAAACAAAACAAAAACAGGAGATGAAGATAAGATTTCAGTATCCCTTGAGACATCTATGAGATCAACATGAGGTTGGAGGCCTCACGGAATCCACTGCATGGTTTGTGCTTTAAGTGATTAATAGTACTGTAATATTTTTTATCATCCATCATATCACTATTTCCTCTTCTGCTCAGTACCAATAGATCCTAAAAAAGTCTACAGATAATATTTGCCACTCACCTCGTCCTTCTGCCACACTCTCCAGGATCTTTTCCTCTTCCTTAAGCTGCTTCTCTTTAGCAGATTCTTTACGTGCTGTGGAAGGGAGCAAAGCTGTCAGATCTCTCTCTTAAAGTCCGGGCCCAATTCAAGGTGTTGGTTATGACCTATAAAGCCCTAACGGCTTGGGACCTGGTTACCTGAAGGAGTGCTTACATGCATATATGCCCGACCACCCCTTGAGATCTGCGGGAGAGGCCCTTCTCCGGGAACCCTCCGTGAAAGAAATTAGGAGGGTAGGTACTCGGAGGAGGGCTTTCTCTGCGGTGGCACCCAATCTATGGAATGTGCTCCCCAGAGAGGTCTGCCTGGCGCCGTCGTTATTTGTTTTCCGGCGCCAGGTGAAGACCTTTTTATTTAAACGTCATTTTAATTGTTAACAATATTTACTTATTTATCTGGCCAGGGTGACTTCTTTTCTTTTCTTTTATAACTTTTCTTTTATAACTTCTTTTATATCGTTTACATTTTTATTTATTTTATATTAATTATTAATTTTAATTTTATATTATTTTTATATTGTATTTTATTGTGTTGTAAGCCACCCCGAGGCTTCGGCAAGGGGCGGCATAGAAATGTAATAATAATAATAATAATAATAATAATAATAATAATAATAATAATAATAATAATAAAAAGCAGGGTACCTTTTCCAGGCCAAGGGCTGATGTGATTCCATCCAAGCAAGTTGGGGGTGATATGCCAGCAATGAGCAAGGGTGCATCCCAAAGTGAGTAGGGCTACCCATTTCTGACATGTGCCTCCTCCAATGTGATTGCCTGGACTCCACTCACACACAACACACACTCCCCTGACAAAAATGCCCTCCTCCACAGCATTTCAGGTTTTAAAAGCCTATATTGGCCCCAGTGGAGCTTTTTTTAAAGGCTGACTGAGGCACAAGGGGTGGAGAGCATTTCTGAGGGATTATTGCAGCATTTACAGAGGGAAGGGTTTGGCCTTTCCTCTTTTCTAAATGAACCTTTTAAATCTAAATGATTTAGATTTAAATCTAAATGATTTAAAAGTAAGTAGGCTTTTAAAATGCCTAATTTTATAATTATTGTCGGGGGGAGGAGCAGGGAAAATAACTTATCTCCAATCAACTGCTGATGGAAGATAAGAGATTATCCCTGCTTGGGAAATGTTGGAGGGGCCTGGGAAACAAACTGGTGGGCCAATGGGGACGTCCAGATCTAGCATACATCAAACTAAGGTTGTCAACTCTACCTTCTGCCTTCTCCTTGAGGTGTTGGTGCTGATCCAGGAGGCTGACATTGGACTGTGGTCCCAGAGGAATGTCATCTTCATCACCATGATAGTCACTGCCACTGTCCCTTTGTTTCTCTTCCAAGACTCCCTTGCGGCGCATCTGCAGCAGCTTTTGTAGCTGAATATACAGATGTAGTTGCTTAGGACAAATCTCTGGAACTGGAACCTTCACTGGCAGTCCCCCTGCCCTTGCCAAAAGCCCCAATATAAACCTTTTCTCATCTCTTTCAGGGCTCTCCTCAGGATCACAGATAAAATAAGCTCCCAAAGGAGCCCCCTTACCCTGCAATTAGCAAATCAAGAAAGCTTTGAGGAGGATTGAATGGGAATCAAGGGAAGTCAGATTCCTATAGTGTATTTTATTGCAAAAATACAGGAGCAATCAGGGATGTCACCCAAGGAAAGCAGAATGAGAGAGGCATAACAGAAAACCAGTGTAGAGTAATCTAAGATGTGCTTCTTGTAAATCTTCAGATGCTACTTCTTTTTGCAGGTGGGCAATACAACTCCTATCATCCTTTAGCAGTGGCAATAGTAGCTAGAGCTGATAGGACTTGTAGGGCAAAACACCTGGAGATCCATAATTTCCCCAAACCATGTTGGAATAAATTTGATTTGTATAATATATAAGCTCATAATTATAAACAATTATTGTCAAAATATATGATCAGCAGAAAGTTTACATATATTACTGCATGAAGTCTTACCAGTTTAGGAAAAAGTATTGTCAAAAATGACATACCACATGGGCATAATATGCTATATGAAAACATCAGACCTTTATGATTATTGTCTTTTCAATCTAATACGGATTTTTAGCTTTCCCTTTCCTTAAAATATTCCATCCAAATAAAACGATGTATTTCTTTACACAGCGCACAGTTAATCTGTGGAATTTGATTCAGAAAGACTGTAGTGCTACCTGCCAAGTTGGGCAGCTTTAAAAAGAGTTCCAGGGGCTACTTGTCTTAGTAGCTGCCTGGCCACTGGTGGGAGCAAGGCAACCAAATCCTATAAAATCTTTACTATGCCAACTGCATTGTCCCTGAACCTAATTTAAACTCCTGGTTTAAACTAAGACCAAATTAGTTGATATTATTTATGTTAATTCTATACTGCCCAATAACCAAAGCTCTCTACCTGACCACAGTCTAAGGATGAAAAGAGAAGTCCTTATCATTTGTCTACCTATGCGAGCAATTAGGTGGGTGATCACACTGCCTCTCTTGCAGTGACCTTATACCTCTGGAATAAATTGCTATGAGGGAACTGCAAGCTCCATCCTAATTTTAAGAAGGCCCTAAAAACGTACTATTTTATTTTGGACTTTTCTGGTATACTTGCTATTATTGCTGTTTTTATTGATTCAGTATCGCACCAGTTTTATTATGCATTTTATTGCTGCACTCTGCCTTGAGAGAGATGCTAAGAAGTGGCCAATAAATATTTTAAACAAATAAAAATAACTGATGATTAAATATTACTCACAGTATCAGAAGTGGTGTGCCTCTGTGTACCAATTATTGAGGGGCAGGGCTAAGAGGACTGGGATAAATGGGATTTTGATTTATTCAGGGCTCTCCTAATGTTCCCCAAAGTGGGTTATTTAGAATGCACTTGCCAGTGCAGTCTACCTGGCACTAACGCTGTCATCTTTCTTAAGTCTTAGCTCCACTCTCAGGTATTTGGCAGCATAAAATTTTTAATAGGTCTTGAGATTACTATTTGCTGATTGTTCAAATTTGTGTGTGTGTGTGTTTATATTCTATTTCTAGGGCTTGAATCTGTGCAAACCACGCAGAGAATTTTGGCTAGTAGGAAGCACAGGACTTCAGTAAATGAAATTAAATGCATGGGTTTCCTTGTTCTCTCATCCTGTTTCCTCACACATGAGCTTAAGAAAACAGCATTTGTAGGCAGGTCTGCTCCACGACGCCTCTTCTTTTGTTTTGGAAATCTACTACTAAGAGGAAGCAGGCCGAAGTTCAGTCCAGCACAAGCCTAAACAGAACGGGCACAGAAGTCCTCTGGCTGCGATCCTCGGGCGTCAACTGAGGCCTTGCTTTGACAGTAAACAAACATGCCTAGCCTCGGGCCACAGAGCAGGCAGGATGGCAGAGGCAAGCCGCCTCCCGCTCCGCCACCCCTTCCCGGCTCTCTTTACCATCTGCTGCTTGCGCTGTTTGACGGGCACATAAGGGTCATAGTCGTCGTCGTCGTCGTCGTCGTCTTCTTTGGACAGGCCGGACAGCTCCGCATCCGATTCCACTTCACGCTGCCTCTGCGGGAATAAGAATTCCGAGTCACATCTCGAGGGCGGCTAGAAGCCGCCTTCTCCCGGCGGGGTCCCGGTCAATGTCTTAAGGTGGTGAGTGGGGAAGCCGAGATACCGGCCGACACCAGCCTTACCTTCCTGCCGCTTCCAGGCTCCATGTCTCCACTCTGCCTGCCTCTTTTCGCGTGACAGACGCGCACGCAGCCAATGAGAGGCCGTAGAACGGCCAAGTACTAGGACGTCCGCCTGCGAAGGCTTCAGTCACTTGGCAACGGTAACCACACCCACTCGCCGTGCCAGACGGGAAGCGCCGAAGGACAAACTTAGCGAAAAGGAAACGAACTCGTCTGCGAGGTAACGCCTGGCCAGTGACCTTGGCTGCGCCGCTGAGTGAAGGCGTTTGCTCGCTTCGAGCTTTGTATCCGTGACTCGACTTGCCGGTTTTGGTCTGGGGTTGTTGTGAGAAGCGGGTGAGGTGGTTCTTATCTACCTTAGACTGCAACCTAATCTGGGGTGGAAAATACGTACCATGTAGTGCGGTGGCGTTTACTTCCGAGTAAACATGCACAGCAGGATGGCGCCCTTAGTGAGTTGGCAACCACGAAACCGACTTCCTTACACTGTTTCTCAGAATCACTTGCGAGAAGTCGTGTGTTTCCTACAGCTTGGCAGTGAGCGCATGAAAGCCGTTTTAAGAGAACTGGTTAAAGTATTGCTGGATCAAATGGATTAGTTCATCGTACCTCTTAGTACGAGATAGGCTCTTCTATTCCCAGAATCTGCTTCAAGGGCTGACATTAAACCCGACAACTGGCATTTCCCACAGTGGGTGTTGCTAAATGATAGGTAGTCGCGCTAGACTGTTGCAACAAAACAGAGTGCTGCGGCACCTTCTATTCTGGTATAAATATGGTGGACTGTACTCCAGTAAACACGTGCAGAGCGCCCCTCTCTTCTCACTGGGTTTACACAAGAACTGTTGCTGTGATTGTTTATGGATGTGTATTTGCGGCGCTGGTATCGCCCTGCTAATGATTTTTTTCAAGCATCGACCGAATCCTTTGAGGGGCTTGCTTGTACTTTGAATTGTAAAACTGTAGTGCAGAATGGACAGGCACTTTTGACCTAGAACCTTCACATTTTCTAAAATATTTTCAAAATAGTGAGAGAAAATTAATTTGCAATATATGGTCCCCCTCCGTATAACCAATACATGGTTGCACAAACTAGCCTTGCAGATTTAAAAGGATCAACAAAGATCTGCTCTTCTCTTTCATTCACTCACATTCATCCTATTTTCAAGCAGATTGGAAAAGGGTGCTTGTATGGTATGTAGTCATGCACAAACACGTGATGTGTTCTTATGACGTCTGTTAATACCCTATTTTTTATCAGGAAGATTGAATCTCGATAATTTTATAAATTTTCATTTGGTAAATTAGAGCCCTTATTTAGCAAAGAGATCATCCAATCCAGTATATCATTTAGAACATCTCTTGCTCCAATTGACTAAATACAAAAATAAATACAAGTTGGTGTATATATCAATATATCAGCACAAATCAAAAGCACGCAAAATAGCTTGCGGGGAAGTCTCAAAAGGATTTTTGAGCAAGTGTAGAAGAAAATAAAATTGTAGATGGCAAATGCAAAATTGAGTTACCTGCTTGCTTTCACATTGCATGTAGCTAAATCCTTTTTGTATGGGTTGAACTACCAAAGTTACTGATGTTACTAAAGATTATCACACTGCTACAATCTGCAGTATTGTAAATGGACCACAGATAAGATTGCAGCAACACGATTCAGTAGGTTGACATTACTATGCCTGAAAGGTTCCCAATCTTCAGATGGAGCAGAGGGTTTTGTACAGACATGTTGAATGGCTAACACTCTGGGAGTCCAAAATTATGGAGCAAGGACAAAAGATACAGCTACACAGCTATCTTTGTTGGTGCAGTTCCAAGTTCCTGGTATATAGTATTCAGGCCACCACAAGGTCTTTTGCTGCCTGAGGCAAAAGAAACTCTGTGCCACTATAACCTCTCTCTCCTGCACCTTGGTACCTTTACTACTATGCCATGGCCTGGGCAAGAGCTGCACAGCCATGGAGACCAAGGAGAGAGTTGCACAGCAGTGGCTGGCTGTGCATGACAAGAATGGAGGGGGCAGGCCCCCCCTCTGGTTAATACTTCACTGTGACAAATGCCATGGCAGGAAAGCGGGGGGGGGGGCTCTCCAGAGCACCCATGGGAGATGGGGAGCAAAGTGCATGTGGCTTCATGGGTGGGCTGGCCATGGGGTTCTGGGGAACTGCAGAAATCGCAAGAATATTTGCGTTTGCCACAGAGAGTCTAGGAGTAATCTGGACTTTCAGCTACTTTTTGTGACACAGGCCAAAAAGAATGCCTTTAGAATTAAGTGTGCTACCATTTTTGCAGAAGGATTTGAAACTGAAGAATACTAACATGTTATCTGATATGTATATATGCAATTTAGAAATCATTACTGGAATTTAAACTTCGAAGAGGACAAACCAATCAATTTCTCATCCCAGTCTTGCCATATGCTACAATTAATTTTAATTAACTCTTACATCACTGTAGTTTATTTCCCCAATTAGGATCACACAGACCCTGCTTCAAACAAATTCCCTTTCAGTGAATTGCACTCATTCCTTATAATCCCCCCTGCACCATCACCTCTAGCTTTAAGATGGAGAAAAGGCTAATCTGCTTTCTAAGGAGAGGCGTGGAGTTCTGTGCTTCTCTGCACCAAAATAAAAGTGGGTGATGTCACGGGAAAGGTGCAATTTTGGGAGCAACTCACCCCCTTGACATCATCCTGCTTGTTAAAGAGTTTATTCAAAGGGCAATCTGGCCTGCAGACCCAAAAACGGCACATCTCAGACTCTTACCTTTAATCCTCGAAGTGGTCTGCAATATTTTTTCCAATATGAACCTGTGCATCAATTAAGATAATCAGTTCAGACTATTTCCTAAATTTAGAAGTAGGTGTGCAGTTTCTGGTGATACAATCTTTTCTGTGATGGCACCTGGCAGCTTAAGACATCCCCTTTCTAAAGCTTCAAATGAAAAATAGTTTTTATATTTTGTTATTATTTTCTGCTTTACCTCTATGCAATTATTTTAATTCTTGCTTTTTAAATTTTTCTGTAGTAATTACAGGTTGTTGGTTTTGGAGAATTTAAGCTTATATATGAGAAAGTTGCCTATATGTTTATTAAATAAATACATATAACAATTCCTTGCTACTCAAGAATGGTAGCAGTGGAGCCAGTCTTGCATCCTTTCTCAAAGAGAGAATGAGACAACATACAAGCAGATCTGAAATAATGCAGTTTCTTTGAAGCTGGCTACCATAGTTTGCTTTGCCTGAACATGACAGATATGAGACTGGTGTGATTATCTAGTTTTCTTAATCCTGATGGACACACTAAACCTGTGAACAAGTAGAACTTGTGATCTTGGGTGGAGACATTGAATTCACTGCCACAAGATGACCACTAGTTTATATGGATTTAAAAGGACTTTGGATAAATTCAAAGATGGCCAGCTAACAATGGCTATCAGTTATGATAGCTAAATGGAACTTTCGTATTCAGGAGTGAGGTGATACCACATGTGCAGAGCTATTTCAGCACACGCTATTAAGGGCAGGGAGGTAGCATACGTAACCCTCCAGATTTGGACTGTAGTTTCCATCATTTCTCACCATCAGCTGCATTTTCCACCAAAACCTGGAGGGCCACATATTCCATGCCCTGACTTTGGGCTTCTGAAAGTTTCTGAAAACCAGAAATCATATTTTGGTAGGACTGAGGCAAAAGAGTGCACAAATCTTTTTTTGTGCTTAACTCATTCTAGGATTAGCCACACTTCTTTCCCCTAAATGCAGCAGGTTAATTTTAGGGTATAACTAATAGTGACACAGCATGTGCTTTGCATACGAAAAGTCCCAGGTTCACTTCAGTTAAAGGATGATGTAATGGGCAATATGAAAGACCTCTGCATAAGATGCTTGGGGAGCCACTATTGTTCCAAGTAGTCTGGGCTAGTCTGAGTTGATACATGGCACCATCATATGTACCATCCTGTTTCAAGATCCTGAAACAGCTATCAAAAAGATCCAGGACTTAGGCCCATAGGACTGCCCCCCCCCCACACACACACACATAACTCTGCATATGCTAATTTCCATATGTTTAAAAGTCTGTGTGTACACCTCTTTAAAAGACCCTGTCTCCCAAGGACACCCCTAAAGGGATATATGGTGAGGGCATTTGGTTTCAGAAGATAGCTACAGGCAGAAAAATTCAAGGCAGAGGTCGGGAGGAAGCAAAGCTCATGCTGGCAAAAAGCCAGCAATTCCAAGAGGGATCAAATGCAACAGAGATAATCAGGGCTGCTGGACCTTTATTTCAGCAAGTACCCAAGGACAACAGGGTAGTGGTGCAGATAGCCCCAAATAGCTGGGAGGCTACAAATTATATTACATTTATACCCCACCTTTCTTCTTCTTGTAAGGAACCAAAGTAGCTTACAAAGTTCTCTTCATTTTATCCTAACAGCAACCTTATGAGGTAGGTTAGGCTGAGAATCTGTGATGGGCTCAAAATTACCCAGTTAATTTCATGGACAAGTGGGAACTAAAACCCAAATCACCCAAGTCGTGATCCAACACTCTACCCACTACAAAACACAGGTTTAGTGGGGCATGTAGTGTTTCAGGTATATTGAATATACTGACATGTAGGAATTTATGGTCATTTCTGAGTAGCACAAGTGCAGCCTTTTCCTTCCAAACTGTAGATTTATGTATAATTAGCAGAGCTTTAGAAAACCAGTACTTTTAGCCAAAAAGGAAGTTTGCAAGCTTAGGGTTTGGATGAGAGGGACAAATGAGTTTGCAGACCTAAATGCACTTATTGGTGAGCAAATGACACTGAACACAATAGGATTTCTAAGCAAATGTGCATAGGATTGCACTGTGAATTAATTCAGATTTGTCCACTCCCAAGGAGACTGAAGAGATTCCAAAGGAGTCAACAAAATGGCAGATTATATTCAATTTAAGGCAATACAGTTAAGCACGCTAAAGCAAAAAGGAATCCTAGTTTGCATATAAGGATATCAGTTCTAAACTGGCTGTGGGTAAACATAGAAGATTTCTTGGGGCTGCAGTAGAAAACTTGCTAATTTTTTTTCACTGCTCTGGCAGTGAAACAGTTAGAAAAGTGGGTTGAAAATAAAATAGCACATATCACCATTGCTTTATCTTAATTTATGCCTGCTCATATTTGGTATACTGATGCCTACCTTAGAAAGGACATCATAAAAGTAGGGGAAAACATAAAAAAAGAGCAACTTGCAGTGCAATCATACATATGCCTGCTCAGGAGTAAGTCTCAGTGTGTCCATTGGGCTTACTCCTATCCAACCGAGTAGCTGATTGTAGCCTCATTTGATAAGTGGTTAGAAATCTTACATGGGAGGTAAGGCTGAAATGGCTGGAGATTTTTAGTTCAGAAAAATGGCATGGGGTGTGTGGCACTTCAGATTATGAGCAGTACTGAAAGGGTGAATCAAAAGAGAAAAATCTGTTTTTCTTATAATACTAGTATCAGAAGTCGCCCAGTGAAACTGACCAGCAGTAGCTTCAGGGAAAACAAACATAGTTCCACATTGCACATAATTATCCTGGGATTCTGCTCTGAAACTAACTTCAAAATATCCAAACACCACAACTGGGCAAGTCATCCAGTTCTCTCGAGGAATCTCATGTTCAGAGGCAACAGCATCTTTTGAGTATCAGATGCTGAAGGCAAGCAGATTTGTTGCTTTCATGCCCAGTTCAGCATCTTCCCAGAGGCATTTGTCTGGTTTTGGGCTGTTGGTCTAAACTGGCAAGGCAGCTCAGTTCTTGTGCTTTCCAGATCAGTCTCTCTTACTGCTCCAGCTCTGTTTTCTGAATCTATACCTCTCCTCCAGCCACCACCAGTAATCAGACAAATTCCAAATGCCATAGACACAGACATTCCAGTAGCATGTTTAGAATAAAAGTGTGCAAATGTAAGTTGACTTATTCTAGAAATAGAATTTGAGCTTTCCTTTGCTGTTCATAAATACAAGGGAATCACTCTCACAGAGCCTAAATAGCCTGAGATGAACCTTGGACTTGCCCACCTAACTTAGACACAGGTAGCAGAGTTTACAATAGGGAAGGAGCTACTGGTCATGAGATCACTGAACTACACCAATGCACACTCTAAGCAAGAGATTTTGCTTTTCCTGTTCCCATCTTGCCTACTGGCTGCATGTGGGAATAGGTTGACTTTCATCTGCATTTCACTTGACCATCCTGCTTTTCATTTCATTGTTGTAGCAGCTATCTCAATAAAGTCAATATTGTGGTCTAACAACATTGTAAGACAAGCTAATCTGTTTTTCAGTTCTTCAGTAGGATTGATGTTGTAATGATGATCTGCCCTACTAGGCAGGGGGAGGATGAATGCGCTAAGCCTTACACACTACTAAGTGCTATGAATTGCAAGTAATCCCATTTATTATACAGTTGACTGAAATAAACAGAGTCCCAGGAGACAGGGACCCCCTCTTTAATCCTGTTGTGTACTGAGGACTGGAGTATGAAACTGTAATACACCCACCCTGTTTGAGCAGCACAGATGTGTTCCTGATGGAAGGAAAACAGGGTGGAAATTCACACAGGTGGGCAATTTGGGTCAAACACCATGGGGACTGCATGGGTTGCAGCCTATGTAGATGCTCACTGCCAGTGGCTAGTCTGGCTCCAAGTCAGTTTCTCTTCAGAGCTCTGTCTAGTGCAAACCAGAGGTCCTAGTCCCTTGGTACTAGCCATGGGCAGCAATTACACAGCACACATAGACACTCTGCATCCAAATGTCAGTTTTATCTTTCAGCACGAAAGATTTCACAGTATCAAAAAGTAAATGAAAAAGAAGAAACCCAGAAAAGCTGATCTGCTGATGGTCAGTGGCTTGGCATAGTCCAAGCCCTCTGGGAAGTAGCACGGGCCTCAGAAGTGGTGGGAGGGGAGAAAGAGAGCCTGGGTAGCACCAGAAATCTGGGTCGGAGACCCACCACAGCTTGCAGTTGGAGTTAACATGGTCAAGTATGTGTGACTGATGATCAGGGGTGTTGTGCAGGCAAGTTTCTGCAGGAAGAAGGGCAATTCAGAGTCCACCCCTCTGTACTTCAGCAGAGACAATCAAAGGCAAACACCCTGGTAGGTTTGGCAGGATAGCCGGTACCACATAAGGAGATCATCCCAACTGGTCACTGGAGTGAACAGTATTGATGGCTGGCAGAGTGACGTTCAGGGGCACAATTAAATCCAGAACTGTTCAGGAGTTCGCCTGACATCTGCTATGGTTTTAGGGGGAAAGGTTCACACATGTGCAAGTCAGAACCACAGGTTAACTGCGATGGGGCAGGGGCAGGGCAAGACAGCAACAGGGCAGCTCTACACTTCTTCCCAGAAGCATCCTAGGGCATTTCCTATAGCCATGCTCATCCTCCAGGGGCTTTTTTGTTGGCACTTTCATCAGACAGATTGTGATTAACAGATGTTATAGTCCTTTTACCAGCACAAGGACTGAAAGGTGGTAGAACTTAGGTGAGGCAGTTACGGAACGGTAAGACTCAAGAGTCCACATGCTGTAGCAACAACCAACTTGCTATGAAGTCATAGGCACTTTGAGATGCCAGCTAGGGTGGTCACTCACCAGGGCTAGGCCCTAACACAGGCCATTCCAGTGAGGGGAAGACCCAAATCCCAGGACAGGGCTTGAGCCTGCAAACCAGTGATCAGAGGAAGGGTGGCAGTAATGGAGTGGGGGCTTACAGTGGAGCAAAAGACAGTATCACAGTTCCCAACTGATTTGAGATACTTACCTTCCAGCAGAGTAAACCTGCAGCGCTGTTCACAGGGCTGTTTTTACACAAGAGGACTTTCCCATGTGGATATCACTTCCCTGTAGTAAATCATTTATACATGGTCATGCATAAGAAGCAGAAATAGGTTTATTTTCTTGCAGGACCTGCAGCCAATTGGTGGCCTCCTGCTGTGTGCAATCATGGCAGGACAGACGGGGGTGCCATCTTCATATATGGACAGCACAAGAAGCAGAGTTGCCTATGCAGAAGTGATATCCACACAGGAGTGCAGTCGAACTTACGGGCAGAGACTGTAAGCTCCTGTGCAATATGCCTAAGCTGTTCAGATGCAAACTCTGCTGCTCAGGAGGGGAAAGAAAATGATGGCTTCCATGGGGCACCTCCTAGAGAAGAAACTGCAGCCCATCTGCTGACACTAGGCTCCTTGAGAAAACACTGCACACAGTATGGCGTGGCACTTCAGCCAAGAGAATAAAATTCCCTGAGAAGGAGGGTAGTGCAGCCAAGGACGCGTGCAGTCACCAGGAGATGGAAGAAAGCTCGTTCACACCTCAAAGCTCTGCTACCATGATTGTGCAAGGAGATGACTGGGTTCGCACAGCTGGGAGCTCCATGCCTGCTCTCTGACCAGGGCAACTCCATGTGCACCTGTTGCCCAAATCCACAGTATCGGAACAGAACTCAAGCGAGAGCCGAAGGGCAGGAGTTCCATTATGCAGGGCTGCTGCATCTGCCCACTTCCACCGACGGGGATCACTGCCCCCCTGCCCGCAGGGACCAGAAAAGCCGGAACAAACAACAGAAAAGTTGGGTTTTTTAAATAAAATAAAAAATTAAAAAGTCCTTTATTGGGTGCAGCCTGGTCCCTGTGCCACGCTGGCCCTTGGCCAATCAAGACTGCCCCTAGGTTTGGGGCGGCTCAGTCAGCATCTCCCCGAACGTCAAACACTGAGAGGTGAGGGACACAGGGGCTGTCCCAGCCCCACCTATAGGCTAGGAATGGGAGCCCCACAGAGAGGGGAAAGGAGGAAGGTCGAGGACAGGTGAGGTCAATTGTCTGTCTATGGGTTTGGGGGCGGGGAGGCAAAGTGTGGGGCCCTGCACATATACCAGGGGTGCACCGCACACCTCACTGAGCTGCACTCGAAGTGGTTTTCTTCAGGGTGAAATTGGTCCAGTTCACAGCCACTTTCTGTCGGGTCTGCTTAGCTGAGTCCAGGCAAAACCTGCAAGTTTGGAGGGAAAAAAACCAATAATGGGCATGACAGGCTGGATACTCATTTTACAAACTGACCTGGTTTGCATGATCACTGCAGCCCTCACTGGCTTATTTAGCCCACAACAAGCTATGGTGACCACAGGTGCCAGTTTACTTAGACGGTGCTTTGCCATGCCATCTAAATCTGGGCAGCACAGGTTATCAGAGGGTTAAACAACCTTCCAATAACCTGTTCTCCCCTGTATTCATTTGAGGGTCACTTAATCCTTGCTACCTGGGTTCAGACAACACATCAAACCATGGCAACCCCCCAGGGCATTGCATATTCACAGTGACTGTCCACACATGATGCAACCCATTGCACTGGTTGTGCAGACTGGCACATTCACTTTTGATCCCTTGTGAATGCACACATGCATGCACACACAATGCTGCGTGTTTCCTGTGAACTTCCAACTCCTCAGCAAATTCCAAGTGTTTGGAATACTCAGACATTTTAACACTTGAGAGATAAGGAGAAAAATTCAGATAAATTGAAACAGTTTCAGACAAGATGTTAGGGGATGTGGAAACAAGTCCTTTGATGAAAAATTGAGGGAACCAGATGTATTTAGCTTTGAAGAGAGAAGATTGAGGACTGCAAGATATTTTCTATTATCCAAGACAAAATAATGGGCTTTCGTGATAGGAAAACAAATCTTGGTGGAACATAAGGAAAAGCTTCCCAACAGTCAGACAATGAAACCAAACTAAGTAGGTGGTAGGTTCTCCATCACTTGAGATATTCAAGCAAAGAGGGAACAGCCATCTGTCAGAGATGCTTTAAATTGGATTCCAGCACTGAGTGTGTGTGTAATGAATTGGCCCCTTCCAACTCTTGGATACTGTGAAATGGTCAGTAATACAATAGTAATAGGCAAGCAGGGCCATTACTGGGAAGCAATAAAAAGGTGAGTTTGGAAAATGTGCTACAAGACAGAGACAGGAGGCACTTGGCTAGGAAAGACTAGACAAGAAGGTCCAGCTCATCAGCAAACCATAATGCCCAAGTTGCTCTCTGGGAACCAGTATGGCTCAGAACTGGAACCCCATGAGGAAAGGAAAGAAAGTTGGTTGACGGTAGGACTAGTCAAGGGTCTGTGGGTTTGGGGGCAGTGGGAGAAAAGGAGGGGTCTTGCAAATCTACCAGGGTGCACTGCACACCTGACTGAGATGTACTCAAAGTGGTTTTCTTCAGGGTGAACCTGGTGACCCCTGGTTAGAAATAGGGAGTGGCTGGATGCATTGCTCAGGGAGGATGTGTCTCTGGCTTTCCTGAAGGCTGGGAGACTACTCCTGAGAAAGCCTTCTCTGGACCCAGGTGGGCTTACCAACTAACAGCCACTTGCTAACCTCTCCCCTTTGGGCATGGCACTGGAGCAGGTGGCAGCTGTCCATCTCCAGTCATTCCTGATGAAAGACAGATGATGTAGAACAGGAACGGGCAATCTGGTGCCCTCCAGAGGTTTGGGACTACAATTCCCACATAGGATGGCCAATGGTCAAGGATGAAGGGAGCTATAGTCCAAAGCTTCTGAAGAGTACCACACTGCCTACCTCTGATCCAGAACCATTTCCAAATGGTCTCTAGCTCTATTTTGGAACTGAAACTGCCTGAGGTGCTCTGGTATGCAACCTTCAATGGAAGAAGGACAGGTTATGACTCACAATTGTTTTGGACCTCCCAGATTTTGATACCATTCAACTATGGTATCTTCCTGGATTGTTTCTTTAAGGTGGTTTGTTGGGCTGGCATCCTCTGGAGGCTTCATTCTTCTAGGGGATCATTTCGCCACACCCATGGCACTTGCCTTACGGGGTGCTGCAGGGATTTCTTTGGTCTCCTGTACTTGTTTAACTTCTGCAGGAAATGCAGGGCATTGCTAGAAGTGATTTGGAGGGAGTTGTTCTTAGGCTGAGATACACCTCTGCCTCTCTTTTTTCATCTAATCCAGATTTGGTGGATATCCTGAACATATGACTGGCATCAGCAGTGCACCTCATAAGGGCTAAGAAGTTCAAATTCAGCCAACACAGGTGATCTTGGCAGATGATATGGTTGCCCATAGAAGCCAATTATGTATTTATTCCCTGCCTTTTTTCCTTTCAACTCAAAGCTGCTTATATAATTCTCGTCCTCCTCCTCTCAGTCTTCTCCTAAAAAAGCTAGATGAGGAATGCCCTTGTGCTTACTCATTCTGCAGGAAAATTCACTCTATTAAAGCTCAAAGGATGCATGATTCTCATTTACTCCATGCTTGGAACCAGAGTGCAGGGCTGAACAATTTAAACCCTGTGTCCACAAGGCCTCTCCTTCAGTAAGAAGCTGTACCTAAATGTGGGAACTAAAGATAAAGGACTCCTGGCACTGGATGAGTATTTTTTCAATCTGCACCTTTGCACCTCTGTAGTTTCCATGCTGCACAATACATACACCAACACAGGAGCCTGTACTTCTGTCACAGTAGTCCAGGCAGCGTCGCAGTGAGCCCATTATTTTATTTATTAGAGTTATATTCTGCTTTTTTCTTACGCTGAACTCAAAGCAGCTTATGGCATTCTCATCCTGCTGCTCTCTCTCTTATCCCCAATAACAACCTTGTGAGGTAGGCTGAGCTGAGATTCTTTGACTGGCTCCATGGCCGAGTGGGGACTGGAACCCAGACTTCCTGAGTCCCAGTCCTACACTCTTAATTACTACACCACACTGGTATTAGAGTTATATTCTGCTTTTTTCTTACGCTGAACTCAAAGCAGCTTATGGCATTCTCATCCTGCTGCTCTCTCTCTTATCCCCAATAACAACCTTGTGAGGTAGGCTGAGCTGAGATTCTTTGACTGGCTCCATGGCCGAGTGGGGACTGGAACCCAGACTTCCTGAGTCCCAGTCCTACACTCTTAATTACTACACCACACTGGTTCTTATATTTGACATGCTGGGTAAGGGTGGATTTGCAGCTTGGGGTACTTAAATCCAGCTTTACTCATGGACACCCAAATGGCCTCTGGAGCTAAAACCTTTCATCGCTTTTGGATGATATCAGCCATAGTTTTTCTTAGAAAAGCATGATCTTGCCAGTTGTTCATGACTTGTAATGCTCAGGCTGGACTACAACTATAATGCTGTGGTATGTTCTGTGTGGGGCATCTTATAATATGCATTCTGAAAGAGCAACAGGTTCAGAACACAGTGGGGCCAGATTATCTAACTGGTATCTGCCCTGTTGATTGTATCTGCCTGGTGCTGAAAGTTCTGAGCAAAATCCAAATGGCCAATTTTGACTTATTAGTCCAAAAGCAGATAAAGGGTATGAATCTGTCCAAGCCTGGAAATCACCTGCTAAGGTCACACTTCAGGCACATCCCCTTTCAGAGGTCAGATGAGCAGGGAACAGACACGTGGCAGTTCTGTTCTAAAAAGCCAATTTAGAATGCCTTTCTCTGTCAGATTCTCCTGACACTGATTATGACACTTGTTTGCATTTTAGATTTTTCTTTTTTTTTGGCAGGGAGAAGTAGAATTTGATTTTTGGTAACTGTTAGGTTGATTTCCTTTAGTACTGCTGAGGTTTTTTTTTTTTAATCAACAGATATACTTTAATTTGGTTTGGTTGTTTCTTACTTTTGTAGCAGATCTTTGATTACCAATCTTGAAATTTAATGGAAAGCCAGGGCAAATTTACAAAACAGTAATTTCACATATTCATCCAGGAACATACTGCCATATAAGAACCCTAAGCTCTGCCTAAAGAACGGCTCAGAGATGCGGCAATGGTGCCTCTGACCACTACGCAGCAGGGGGTAAAGTGGCAGTTGTGCTCCCATTCCTACATAGACACACCTGCTAAGTTCAGTCCTGAACAGTCTTCACAGTATAGGGCTTCCCATAATACCCTGGAGAAGAGCCTTCCCTCCCCAACATGTTAACAGATGACATGTTCTCTGCCCACTACAATATCAAATGGTGTATTTAAGGTATGTGTCTGTGTATCTTATAGACTTTCCCCAGCAACTTGCAAATCATGGGGGGCACAAGTAGAAATACGCTCTTCTCCATCCCTCTTGCATGCACGACACTCATTTCTTTCCCATCGTCAATGGCCCATAGTTTAGCACAGAAGTCCCGTGTAAGTGGCCCTGTCTTACCTCTTGAAGTACTCCACTTCTCTGTCAGTCTCATCCATTTCCACACTGTCCAAGTCTTTAGGCAGGAACACATCATCTGGTAAAGCACGATGACAAAAGCCTTAGCGGACACATCGCCCTTTCCCCAAAAAGAGTATGTGACAGGGATCTCCCTCCCTTCCTCCCAAACAAGGTGCTTGCCTCACAATACATAGCAGCCGCCCACAGCATTGCTTCCCTGCACTAACACAAAGCGTGCCCAGAACCGCAACCTGAAGGGCAAAGGAGAGAGAGTAGCATGCATGTCAGAATGCCTAGTTGCACTCTATTCCACGTTTGTGATGCAGCAGCAAATGCTGAAGGAGCATGAAATAAAATAATTTAAAAAAATAAAATAATCCCAGCACAAAATAAGCAGGCACTATAAAAGCTCTATAAAAGCCACACGACAGAATTTGGGTTCATGGAAGTCACATGAATTTTAATCAGAACCAGCACATTTCTAGTCCTCTTCGAAAGAAGGCTGGAAATCCACCATCAAACCAAAAGCAAAGGCCTTAGCTTCCATGCCCTGCAGGATTTTCTGTCTCTCCTTACCTCACAACCCTATTGCCCCCTGAACTTCATTGCCCCTTCACTGCATCAGGCCTTGCCAAATCCTCTCTAAAAATCCAATTCAAAAGGGCGGAGGCACAAAAATATGCAGTTTTCTCTACACACACTATCAGGTCCTACGTGGTAGAGATTGTAGGCCATGGGAGTGAAAATGCCGTTCTGTGCCCACCCAGAGGAAAGCTGGCAGCAGCTCTCCTTCACTGTCCTTCTGGACGAGATTTGCTGACATCAAGGTGGGCCTCGATGTACAGGAAGGGGTCAAACCTCACTGCCCAAATAAGCCGCCCTGTTCTTCATAGAAAGCTTCTGAGCAGCACATTCACCAGACCCTGCCTGAAACTCACCAATGGAAAGGCTTGCTTTCTCCATTTTGTTCCTACTCTTCTTGCCTTTGCCCTTGGGCTGGGGCAAGTCGTCTAGCGTGGCTGTGTGAGGCAGATGCCGATCCCCAGTCCCCAAAAGAGCAGGCTCTTGCTCTGCCTGATCAGCTCTGCCCTCGCCTCTCCGACTCTTCCCATCGATGCTCTTCTCTTTGTCAGCCTTAGAGCTGCTGCAACCCCAGCCTTGGCCCTGCCGCAGCCCTCTGGCACCATCGCCTTGCTCTGCATTGCTGCCGCTTCCTCTCGGAGCTTCGGGAGCCGGGCCCCTCTTGGGGGGATTCTTCTGCCCCACCCCCTTGGAGCCAGCGTTGTCACTAGCTGTGACAGCCTCCCCCTTCTTGGTCGGGCAGCCCTGCCGCTTGCCCTTTCGCTGCTTTCCAGTGGCAGGGACAGGCTCTTGCAGCTCCACTCCCCTGCCAGCCGCTGGGTCCTTGGACTCGTGGCCAGCCCCACTCTCCTGGGAAGAGTCTGTTGGCTTGGGGGACTGCACCCAAATGACGCGGGAGAGGTTGGGCACAGCGTTGAGCCGCTTCACCACGCCATTTTCAGAAGCAGGCAATGGGGGCGGGGGCACCTCTCCAGAGCCCTCCGCCCATCGGGGGCCCACCTCACTCCGCAACAACGTATGGTTATGTGGTGTGCCCAGGCTGAGTGGGGACAGGTCAAGGTCAATCTCTTGCAGCTCGGAGGAGCCATTGAGATGGGAGAGGAGATTCTTCTGTTCCAGCACAGCCGCCTTCTTGGGGAAGTCGTTCACGTCGAGATTGAGGTCATAGACGCTAAAGCTGGCACGGATGGAATCCTTGATGGTGTTCTTGATCTCCTGCAGCCGGCTGCTCAGGAAGCTGTTCACCCGCTCCAGTTCAAGCTGGGGCCATTCCAGGAGCTTCTCCTCAGCCAGCTCCTGGTCCTGACCCATGGGTGGAGTTCGGTCCACTCGCTTCTGGGCCTCGGCCTCCAGTTGTGCCTTCTCCTTCTCCTGTAACACCAGAAAATGACAGCATGAAGCTCCTGTTGTTTCCACATGCCCAGCTAGCAACTGGGAAAAAGAGGGTCATGGCAAGGATGAAGGGGGGCAGCTGACCTCAGGTTGAGCAGGATGAAAAGGCCCTTGCTTTTCCAGCTGACAGTGACTGTTTTATGCAACTGGATGGGCACGCCCAGCAAGCCACACCAGCCTCCTGGGAATTGGGAACCAATGAGATGGCATGCACAAGGCCTGTGCTATGGTAACAAACCTTAGGGAAGAGACGTGCTGCCAGCAATTTCCCACAGCAATTTCCCTGGGTGTATAAGCTCCAACACAGTTGCTACCTCCCCAGCCCTAAACTCAGCTCATGGCATGCAGCATGGAGGGAAAAGGAGGAAGGGTGTGAGCAGAGAGACACAGAGACCCAGCTCAGCAGCAACTCAAGAAGCCAGGCACAACTGAAGGGCTTGTTAAATTCAGCAGTTATTCTCACACAGTAATCCCTTAACTTGCTTCAGTTTCTGACTTGTTTACACTTGGCGGTTGGCAAATCTAAATCTGTGGCTTGAAGCACCACTTTTGTGTATCTACCAGAAATGGTTGCATGGGAAGGGTCATCATCTCCTCTTCAAAGGTAACAAGGAAAAACATGGTGTAGGGATAAGGAATCTGCCCCACCTGAGAGCTGCATTCTCTTTAGGGAATTTTCTTGTGGGTTAGTGGTGGGAAGGGCTGGAGCTCTCCCCTGTGACACACATCCATTTCCCACTTTTGTGGGTTTTTTCCTCCTTGCCCTGCACAGCAGTTTGAACTTTAAAGGAAGTTCCGTTGGCATCCCTGGATGCTGTGCTTTAAAAGCCTAATTGGTGCATAAGGGAGATTCAGAGGCTGGCCATGAGACATGGGCGAGAGGAATTAATTTTTCCCTCCCAGGCTTTGACTCTCTGCATCCTTGCAATCAGCCCCCATAGAGCAATTTGACATTTAAAAGACAGCTTCCATGGATGCCAGTCACAACTTTTAGAAAGCGAACTGCTGCAAGGGTGTAGAGAGAAATACTGTAGCCCGAATGGGGTTGCTCTGTAGGCTACATCAGGCTCTGCTTAAAATAGTAACTTGTGAAAAATGCAAGACAGTAAACAGATTAGTGTCACGGAAATATGCTATGCTGGCTTTCTCCAGCCTGGTGCATTTCAGATGTACTGGACTATAACCACCATCATTCCTGTGCCAGTCACCACAGCTAATGGCTGTGCTGTATGGAGATGGTGGAAACGGTATTCAAGATTCCAGGTTGGGATGCAGGTTAACAGCCAGGTGAGCACGCTTCTGGAAAACCTCAGTGAGCTTTAGCTCAGTGGAGAAGCACAGCCTTTGCAAGCCCTAGACACTGCCAGGCAGAAGTGGGCAGGAACCAGAGAGACCACTGCACAAAACGTCAGAGCGAGGATGGAGGGGCTAGACTGACCAATGGTCTGGCTCAGTCCTGTGTTCAGCCTCAGGAGTCTTCAGCTGCATAAAACGGCCACAGGATGAATCTCTTCCCAGGGGTCCAAGAAGCCTGCCTGGCAGGTCCACATGTATATTTACTGTAAGACAGAGGCCTACAGTATGGCTCAGATGAGGCCACTGATGTCTGCAATGCTACTAGGTGTAATACGTGGAAAAGAAGAAGGCAACATTACATAGTCCGTTTACAAGAAGGAAGCCTGTGCTTCAATTATTTTACCACAGCTTTTGGCACTGGTGTCAATTATGAAACTGTGTCTTAATGGACATGTGAAAAATACAGGTTATCAACTTTTTCATTCTCCTTTCAAGTCCATTTAGCTACATCAAGGGAGGCCCTTCAGATCATGAGAGTTGTATGACCAAGCATCTGAAAGGCCACAAGTTGCTCATCCTTGATTTGCACCCATGGGTTCACCAAAATGTGCACACATTTAAGCTCGGATGGATGACTACCCCATTTCCATGCAGAGATGGAACGCTCTGCCAGCTCTGATTCTAAGTAAGTTCTTTCCCACCCCATTGCTAGCTGAGCCCAGGACCTGACATTCAAATGGAATAATCCACTCCCCTTACTCTTGTCTCCTACAAGGCCTGGCTCAGTGTGTGTGCGTGCTAGCTCACTCTCCTGCCTCTCTCTCTCTCACACCCTCCCCCCCTTGAATTTACAGCTGCCTCACCTTCTTCTTCTGCTTGTGGCGTGCACGCTTGGCAGCCTTGGCACTGTTCAAAGGCTTCGGCTCAGTGCTGTTGATGTAGTCCAGCAGCTCATCCACATCCCGGTGATCTACAGCTGGCTCGCCTGAGCTGCTGCTATGCCCCAGCTTTTGAGGAAGCTCTTCTTTTCTCTTGGTCAGCCGAGAGCGCAGCTTCTCCCGGATCTCAGCGTAGTTCCGGCTTGTTGGGGCAGCTGGAGGCTGTGGACAGAGCTGGGCTATTGGCCTGCTGTAGATACAGCGGACTGTATAGTGTGGTGCAGCCACCCCATGGTTATCACATACAGTTCCCATGCTTTCCCCTTCACTAGCCTGGGGCTTTCGAGAGATCCCCAGAAGGTTTCCCCCACGTAAGTATTTACATTCAGTTCTGCAGAAGTCAGAAGCTGAAAGAGGTGAGTGGAAGGTACAACTGCAGAGCTTTATTTCAAAACTCAGAACAAGTCAAAACACAGTTGGTAGAACTGTGAAGATGTCCAAGACTAGAAGGCTGAGGAGGAGCTGGTGTTGGGAGGAGATCTCAAGGCTACAAAGGCCGACAGAGATGAGTTATGAAGTATGCCATGCCTATGTTGATGGCATGATGTTTTCCCCAGCCACACGCCACTCACATCTAACCAAACCAGAGCACAGATGAAGGTCATCTGGCTATGCTTTTACTTACCGCGTTGTGGCCAAAGAACTCACAGTAGCAGCAGTCACAGAATTTCCCATCTTTCTGGGTGGTAGAGGAGGAGGTGCAGGAGCTGCGTTCAGAGCTGCTGTCCTCATCCTCGCCCAGCCCCTCATCTGCCTCGCAGGACTGTGGTGCATGGCAGCTTGTACCATTGGGGAACTTGTGGCCTTTGCAGGCAGGGTCCCTGGGAGAGAAAGAGGGAAGGAGAAAGAGCAAGCAAGTGAGAAACACTTCCTACAAAGAGGCCAGATTCCCAGTGGATGTGCTGGTGACCGAGCCAATAATGGGCTAGGTGCACGTTGATAAACTGAAGCTCAATCCAGGCAAGTTGAAGGTACTATCAGTACAAAATGTGCATGATGGCAGGAGTCAACAATGGGGGGGGGGGGTTACATCCCCTTCCCATCAAGTTCTTCTTATTTCTGTTTGACCACTTCTTAATTCTCACTGAAGTGGAAATTTTCATTTTGTCCCAAGCCTCTAGGAGTTTGGGAAAATACAAAAGTGCATCCTCCAATACAAAAGCACATCCTTGATTCCTTTAAAAGTGGGGGACGGGGGGGCAGGGTTGAGTGGGAAATAGGGATTTTGGACTGGATATACACAGACATGCTGCAATTCAAAACTACTCATTTCCCACTCAAAGCCTCCCTTTTAAAGGGATCAAGAGTAGTGATAGCTAGCTAGCTCTCAAAACTACCAACCTCTTCACCCAAGAAGGGGTTAGGGTGGAGAGAGTACACATTTGTACCTTCTGAAGCACTGAGAGGTTTTAGACAAAGCACATCATGTGCACCCCTTTGAGACTCCAGATATGAAGGGAAAGAGAATGAAATAAGAATTTCACTGTGAATGGGGCATAAATCCCTGCAAACATCCCCTTCCCAGCAAAGGATCCTTCCTGCCTTTGGCTTCTCTTGACAGCTCACCTACAAGTTGTCAAGTGTAACCAAAGTGGGGAATGGGGAAAGCACTGGAAGTCTTGGGTGGGGCAAGGTCCAGGGTGTTGTCTACTGCCAGGGAGCAGCAGGGACCCACACCTGACATTGTCCTAGCCAAAGTTTTAGATCCCAGCAGCTGCTCTACTTTTTAAAATAAAAATTAGAAAAATTGTGCATTATTTCATGTACAAAAAATAAATGCCAGGAAGCTTTGAAGAGACTGCTTAAAGCTGTCAAAATGGGGATTGTGGAAACAGCTTGACATTTGGTTTATGTGATCTCTGAAGAAAAATAAGTTTAAAAGGGGAAAAGCTACAGTAAATCCAAAATGGCTCTCAACAGCAGAGGGAAGACTCGCTCTTCCCTAAGCAATGAAAGGGAGGAAAGAACTCCACAATCAATGGTGTGTCTGATCCTGTCAGATTCACTGCGGGTTGTTCGCACAACAAGCAAGCACAAGTAACCAACTGTGACTTATCACCTTAATAGGTTAGCACTACATGCAAACAAGCCCAGTATCTTGGATGAGATTTGAAAAAAAATAACTTGGCTTTGATTTTTAAACAGTGAACCATCAGTGGCCCCTATCTTTTGGTGATAGGTAAATACTCTAGACAAACAAAATCCACCCCCACCCCTGTTTCAACAAAGAGGACACAACTTAATTCCCCATTGAATGAATAAATAAATAAACAAACAAACCACAACGTTGCAAAGGAAAGAGATTAAACTGTAGCATCAAATTTAAGAGTGTTGTAATGCTATGAATTAAAAAGGGAATATAATATGGCCAGTAATAAAATACAAAATACAACAGAGAAGTGGACTCAAACCCTGCAGTATTTCTCATGCTTCTACCTTCCTCTCCAGAGGAGGCTCAACTACATTATCCTGTGATATTTACAACTAGTTCTGCTGTAACTCTTTCCTTCTTCCATGGTTATCCATGGGAGAATAAACAAGAAAAATGTTACAGTGGAATACAAAGCCCCCATGGATTTTACAGAAAAGCCCCACATTTGATCCTTGCCTGTTCTTGCTTGCAATTCTTTCCTTTCAAATGTACAACAATTTTGCATTCTCGTGCTACTTTTCTCATTAGTTTTCCCCCTATAGAGGAGTATATCAGATCACCATCAAGCCTTGAGGCAGCAATTGAGGAGTCAGACATTGGTGGGGTGGTTATGCACAAAAATACGACTGCCCAGTCCTGGCATTTCTGGTGACGGTAGGGCTAGGCCACCAGGGATCCACCAGACATTCTGGCTTACAGCTCCTCACAATCACTGACCAACAGCCATGTTGGCAGGGGCAGAAGGCAACAGGATGCTTAGCCCTGACTGAAGGGATTTCCATCAATACTGCCTGGGACACTGGTCCCAGCGGGTCTGACGGAGCCTACCTCAAAATGTTTTGTGGGAAGCAGCCCTAAATCTAGAAGGGGAAGTGCTTAAGCTTCTTTACTATGGCAGTAATTCCCTAGCAGATGAGAGTCACACACCGTCCCTCTTCTTGTCCTTGAGGGCAGTGTTCTACACAAGCCTGTTCTGGAGCTCAGAGAAACTCACCAGGTTCCTTCAGGGCCCAGCTGGAAATGGGCCAGGACTGTGCCTTCAGAGTCATCCACCTGCCTACTGTTTCTGAAGGCTCTCTCACACCAAGAAGAGAGAAAGCTCCACAGGACGTTATTCTGGAACTCACACCATCCATTCTAAGGGACATGCATCCCGCAGAAGCAGCAAGGATTTCTGCCAGCCCAGGCAGGACTACCTGGTGACCTACCCCAGAGGAATGCTAGGAGCACTCCCATTACCCACTTCTGGGATTCCCCAGCAGCCAAGTCGCCACTCACCTGTTGGTGCTGGGCAGCTGATGAGAAGCCGGAGGAGGACCCAAGGAGCCGCTGCAATGGCCATTGCATGGATGAGTGCATCCAACAGGAGGAGGGATCTTCAGCAGTGGCACATTGGCAGTGGGCAAGTGTGGGCTCTTACAGGATCCAGTCGGAGGGGAGTCTGCTCCTGACTTGGGGGCTGGTATGTGAGGACTGAGGGCTGGTGCAGGGAATGGGGCCGCCTGCGGTGAGGAGCTCAGGTGGACGTGAGGGGGAGAGCCAAAGGGCCCAGGGTGGGCGGGCATCTGCTTTGTTGGGAGGAGTGCCGGTGGCTGTGAGGGGAGGCCTGTGGGGCTGTTGGGAGGAGCGGTGAGGTCCACGTGCCGGTGGTGCTCCGAGGAGTGGAAGGCCTCTCCTGCAGCCAGACAGAAACAAAGACATGTTAAGTCCAGTCCTTGGCAGCAAGGAGTTTCGTGTATTACTTGGAAGGAGCCAAACATCCCACACAGTGAGTGCTCCCCACCAAAAGTTACCAGTACCTCACCATGAGGAGTCTCCCGCCTGTAATACCTCTAAAACATAAAAAGCCACAATACCTACACACCACAGCTGAATCCTGCCCAATGTGGCACTCACATTCTCAGCCTTCTGACAGCTGTGGCACTTTTCACAAGGGACAATGACTGAAGCGTTCCCTCAGTGCATGCTGGGAAGCCCAGACGGACAAGCCTGAAGCTCAGTGATGCGTATAAGATGCTTCAAGCTCTGTGTCCACTGATCACCCACAGGAGAGAGGAGGAGCTGCCAACCCTTACCAATATGGCTCTGTCAAGCTAAAGCCCAAGGCAGTGCAGCCCCACAAGTGGGGGTGGACCCCTTCTGGAGGCCCAGCGGGAGGGAAGAGCCTCAGTAGCAAGCTCAGCAATGTGGTGCCACCGTTGCCCTGCAGGTTTGGTCTGTTGGCCTTTCTCCAGGCCCCGCACATACAGACCTGGCGGGGTGGGTCTCCGGCACATGCTCTTGAACTGCTTGGGAAGCGTTTTGCAGAAGTCGAGTGAGGTAGGCAGAGGTGAGCCTGGGGAGCCGCTGGGAGCTGGGGAGAGCACGTGGCTGTAGGGACAGGCTTTGAGCCCGCCTCCCACAGCAGGGGCCTGGTTGGCACACTCTGGAGGGAGGCCGGGGTGCTTGTCACCTGAAATGGAGTCAAAGATGGAGCTGGCTGCTCTCCAGGTCCCTTGCTCACCTGCCTATTTGTGGCACCTCATCTTGGCCCATGAGAGAGGAGAGAGATTCTAGAGGCCTCCAGCAGGCAGGCCTCTGGTGAGGAGCCCAGTAAGCAAAGTGTTGCTTGCCCTCAGGAGAAGAGCAAGGCAGAGGCTTGTCTACTGCTTCCCCTTCCTTGACAGAATGAATTTGCATGGCCTGGCAGATGTCAGCACTTGCTTTACATAGCTGAGGAACTGCCACCCCCACAACCATCACAGCAGCCTCCACAGCCGGGTGCCAACATAAACTTACCTGGTACAACAGGTGTTCCCCCAAGGGAGCTCCCTTGAGCAGCCCCATTGGCATGCTGGGAGTTCCAGAGGCCCGAAAGCTTGTGCGCAGACAGGAAGGAGCTGGGGTCCCAGTCTCCTGAGTTCCCGTGGCACGAGGATGAAGATGATGAGGACGAAGAGGAATGGGAGCCTGCCCCGCAGGACTGTGACTTGCAGGCTGTATGCGACAGTGAGACCTGGAAAGAGAGAGCTCATGGTGGCTCAGATGGCCAAGCCAACACAGCCCATTTGCTGGGCAGAATAAAACAGTGGGCAGAGTCACACATCACACTAACCTGCCCTGGCGATAAACCAAAGTAAGTTGACTGTTCTACAAACAACCCACAGTGCACCCAACAAATGATCAGGCTCACAGTAGGCTCTTCTCCCTATCCTTCCTCCCCTGTCTTCCAGCCAGTCTCCCAGTGACCTAGTAGCTGCAGCTGTCTTGGCCCCACTCTCTGCCAAGATCACAAGCCATTTTTCATCTCACTTCTGCTTCCCCCCCACACCATTAACAACCAATGACAGCCCCTCCAAAGTGCCCAGATAAGACATTAGAATGGTCATCACTGGATGGGCACTGCTTTTTTAAATTGTGCTCCAAATGGGCACAATTTTGGTAGTATTTTAAAAAAACAGTTTCTGGTTGTATTTGTGGAGGTCCACTATTCCAAGGGTCCAAAATGGGAGGCCTCGTCTACAGCTGGCAAGTCAAAACTCAGTCGCAAGTGATCTTTACTACTGAAAGGGAGTAGATGCTTTCCCCCCACTTCACAGTGAGATCCTCAGGGTTTTGAGTGTGTTCTCCACCAGTCCCCATGTCCCAATTTTTCTACTTACTTCCAGGTGTCTAGGTTGTTGGAAAGGTGGAACAGTGTACCTCACCCTATTTTTGCTTACAGTTGCCTTTGTCTTAGAGTTTAAAAAAACACACACTTTCATGAGTAAAGTTCACTTGTGACTTGCTTAAACTTGACAGTTTACCTTTTGGCAATTCTCATGTCAAAGCAGTATTTGACAAAACCTGGTTGGAACTTCTACGTGTCAATGTTCAAGGCTCAGCTCCAGAACTCCTGGAGTTCAAGGCTCAACTCCTGAGTAGACTTTTCTCCTTTTTAAATTAGCAAAAAAATTGTGCACAAATGGAGTGTCCTTTGGGCCCTTTGAAAGGCTGTCACTGCAGTGGCATAGACAGGATTGCCATGACTGACAAGGTTTCTCCCCCTCTTGTTGAGTGCCTCAATTTTGTATTTTTTTTTTTCCTGCTGTAACCCGCTCAGAGAGCCTTATGGCTAATCGGGTGGATTCAAAATAACAGCAGTAAGAGTTGCTGCTGCTTCCCTTTACCCATGTCTTTCAGGTTCAAATGACACAACAACTTATAGGTAAAACTATCCCTAGTATAGCCCATGCTTTCTCAAGGTGACTTTTTGAAAAAAGACAAGCCATCTTGTGAGAAACACTCTGAGTCTGGATGGCAATGCAACACACCATGGCTAATTGACTATGACAGGTTGTTGTGTTGTGCAAGCCAGGTTGACAAGTCTGTGTGAAACAGTTACAGTGAACTAACCCATGCCCCAATCAATTCCTCTCTGGGGCCCACCATGGTCCTGGTCATGGAGAAAGAACCCATTGGATTCTTAGTAAAGAGATACTGTCCTGCTCAATCTTGCCTCCATTTCTATTTTCCCTTTCCACTGCCACAAATGGTGACAATGACAAAGAGGAAAAGGTTCAAAGTGCCTACTGTTTTAATAAAGGCACTCACTCATGCTACAGTTTACAAGCCTCACTGCTTGCAGCACAAAGCAGTCAGCATCCAATACAGCCATCTGATTCTCGGTAGGAACACCGAAGATGACTTGGAAGACCAATCCAGCTGTCCCTTCTATTCTCAGTTACACCCAGGCACCTCTGATGGGCTTTGGAATACCCTCAATGGAGTTCAGTGCTTACCGCCAGTGCCTGCTCCTGGACTGCCCTCCTTTCTTCCTCTTCTACACTCTGCCTGCAACTCTGGCAGATCCACAGTGGCATCTCTCCCAACAGGTTCTGCACCAGCGTCGGTACGAAGTCTGGGGGCAGCCGCTCACCTGGGGATACCAAGCCATTGTGGGATGGGCCTCCCCAATCTTTACGCTCCCGGTGGCACAGCAAGCAGCACGTCTGCACTGACTGATTGGAAGTAGGGAGCACCTGCAGGAGGGCACACACAAACACACCGCACATGTTGCTCACAGGAAATATACAGGCAGCCACTTGGCCAAGTTATGTGTCCACCTGGCACATGAAACCCCCAAGGCTCTTGCAGAGCTTCAAGCAGACTTTGCCAGTGGCCCATCCAGATCGAATGCATCAAGCATTCGTTTCCTTTTAAAAGTCATATTCAGCCTTTTCTCCAAGGCGGTGTACACAATCCTCCTTCCAAGCTAATCTGGATCCCTTCCCCATCAGTCTCCACCGCTGCTACAGTACAGTTTAACCCCAAGTCAAAGCTCAATCAACATCCATCTGCACTCCAGTGGAGAGGCAGTGGGAGGAGAGCAAGAACAGCCTGTGACAACAGAGGAAAGGCATGTTAACAAGAAGGGCAACTGCTTTTCACCCAGGCCATTCTGTTCTTTTTATTGCCCCCTCTCACTGTCACCCAGGTTTCAGTTCCTGCCTCAGCCCAATATATTGCTTTCCCTACCCCATGCTTTCAGCTCTGTCCCAAGCCCTGTAGGTTCAGCAGACAGACAGCCTGCCTCTCGCTCAACACTTTGTGCATCTGAAGGACAGAGGAACAGCTGCGGCACGCAAGGCAGAGATCTTTTCCTTGCTGCTCCTTTCATTCTCCCCACATGGCCTTTAGCTTCCTGTCTGGCTCTGGGGCGGAAGCCAGGCGAGCATCGGTCTCAACTCTCCTTAGAGATGGTGACAGGCATGAAGAGTGAAGGGCAGGGTCGCATTGTCTCCCCCACCAACTGAGAAGCCCAGAACAATAGGCTGTGTATCAAGCTGCTGCTGCAAAGCAGATGGTCTCAGACTCAAGGTGAGACAAGACAGTCACAAGGGGGCAAAGAGTGCACCGGGAGCAGGCAGAAGGAAAACTGAGCTTCCCACAATCCCTGCAGGAACAGGTGCCTTGGGAAGGCGGGGAGTAATCCAAGTGACAAAGGAAAGTTTCATGCCAGGACATGGACTGGCACCGTCAGGTCCCTCCCCAATCAGATATATCCCATACAGGGTAAAAAGATACTCTAGCGTTACTACATGCCAGCATGTGGAAGGAAAGTTTATTATAAACTCATCTCCAAGTTCTGTAAGTAAGATGGGTGGCTTATTCAGCATCTTTTTCATTATGAAGCCTGAACATTTTTTATTCATCTTAGAAGCAAGATGATTTGTCTTTTTCTTTATTTGTGAAGGGTTTAATAAAACCATAATTCAGAACATTCTCATGATGAATGACTGAATTATAACAATTTTAAAGTGTTTGCATTGAAGGGAGATGGCCAGCGTTGACAGCCTTTTATGTTCTCCCAAGATGCGTTTTTATTAATTTTAGTGTGAATTTCAAGAAAACAAAACAAAGCAATATGAACAAGAGAAAAATACAATTTTCTTGCATAAATTGAAATGAATCATTTGTAACAGGTGCATATGAAATGTGCACCAATGAGTGTGTATAGGAGTGTGCATACACATAAACTATTATGCTTCAAGAAAGGTAGACTAAATATCCATACATTTATGCATTCATAAATGTTCAAACATTCAAATTCATTCACCTGTTCAATGTTGAAAGCATTGTTATGTTTCAAAAACCTATGATGAAATAATCCAAAATGAAAACAATGTTATAGGAGGTAGGTATTTATCCTTCCAATGTTGTAATCATACTCTTTTAGTTGTCAGGCAAATAATTTAACAGAACATACTCATCAGTAAATATGAAAAATAATTTATTTGTATGCCATCCTTTGCATTTTATCTATATTATGACCTCTGTCCAAAGAGAGGACATTGCCAAAATATTATTGCCAAAATATGTAAGGAAAGTATTTATGCTATTACACCTACAGCAGTAAGCTAACTTAATCAAAGCCCTACTAAGAGGATGTTACAATATCCAATAAACACAAAATTTTTGCTGAATAAGATGTAACCCAAGATCCATTGACATGTCTGACAGATGTAAAAATAATGATCACTCCCCTATTTTTATCTTTTTATGACACTGTGTATGGTATTTATTCACTGTTAAAAATATTTATAAATACAGATTGTGATTTGATACAAATTATCTACCTCAATAGGTGCTTCCTATAGTGAGGGAAACTCTTAAGCATAAAATTGTTAAAGATTCTAACAAATCTTGCAATTGCAATTCATTCATAGCAGGAAAAACATATGCAAAACTAAGAATAAAAATTAACTTAGTATCAGCACACACTAATTGATCCAAGGTAAAAATCAATTCATCTGTCCAAATCTACAACATGAATGTTTTCCACCAATTTTTAAATCACAGTTTCCCCAAAGAATCATGAGAAAATGGACTCAATTGCCATGGTATTATGCACCAAACCTCTTTCACTCCTGTAACTGTAAAAGGAAACTTATCTATTTTAGCATGCTTAGACTTTAATGCCAATCATTTCAAAGAGAATTTAGACATAAATATTCCAGAACTGACAATGATAGATAATTTAATCTAAGTGGAAAAGATAAAAATTGAGTACTTATCAATAAATCAGTCCTATGATATATAGCAAAACGTAGAAGGCCAAACCTGCCTTCTTTAATGGGAAATTCCAGCCTTTCCAAAGAAATTTATGGTGGGAATGGACCCCACAGTACAAATCATTAAGTTTTAAAAAATATTTGTCAGATACAAAGAAATTCCACAACCCTATATACAACATTAATTTTAAGTGTATTACTCTTACCCTACAAGCTCAACTTTAGAGATACCCATCTATCCCAGGATACAGCATTAATTTACTTAGATTTAGCTTAATCCTTTGAGATATCTATCTGGCAATAAATAGTCCCAAATAAGTAATAAGATCTGGACACCATCAAAATTGCAAATTAGGTAATACACAATGAGATATAGTATCTTCAAGTGTCATCAATTTAGATTTTACCAGGTAGTTCAATAGCCAAACAAATCACCTGAAGGATTAATCGCCTGCATCAAAGTTGGAACAGATGACTTGAGTTTCAGGATGGACAGTAAAAGATCATCACCTTAAAGGATAATTTAAGTCTAAATGGTCATAGACAAAACCATGAATATTACTATTCTGTTATTTTATATTATATATTATTATTCTGTGGATATTACTATTCACACCAAACAGAAACATTTTTATCAATGGAGAAAGTGGGCAACCCTGTCTAAAACCTCTCTCAAGTACCAGAAAAAAAGAAAAGGAAAAAAAAGAAAGGAAAAAGAAAAGATGATTGCTGTTCACTCTAGCTCTTGGGTGGGATATCAAATGTTGACCCATTTAAAAAATTCTATAGGAAAGCCAAAATTTCTCAATGTAACAAAGATAAGCTTCTAATGAAATTTGTCAAAGGCCTTTTCAGTGTCCAATGAAGCAATGGCAGTCTACTCTGTTCATATCAGCAGCTAATTGAAGCTTATCAGTCTCCTGCATATTTTAATGCCTGACCTTCTATCTGATCATACTAGTGTTGCAATAACTTGTTGCAATTTATTGGCCAAAACTGCAAAATATTTCAATAATAACAGTAATTCATGAAACAGATCAATAGCAGGCACCTTAAGTATGATCCCTGCCAGGTTTAGAAATCACACTAATGTAAGCATCATTTAGTAATGACCAAAGAGAGCCCAATTCAAAAATGTAATTATAATGTTGATAAAACTTTGTATCCAAAAAGCTGGAAAATGTTTTATGCCACTCAACTAGGAACCCATTGGGACCAGATGATTTTAATATCCAAAACATGTTAAAATTCTCATTCTGACATAATCAAAAATAGGGAAGGGTGGAAGTTTCCATTTTAATTTCAGTTTCCCATTATTTTGCTCTACAACTCTCAGAAGCTCTTGCCAGCATGACCTGGAGTAAGGTATGATGTGAATCCTCCCTCCTGAAGCTGGCTATATATCAAATAGATTCCCAATACCCATTTTAGAGAGCCTCCTACTCCCTTAAAGAATTTGAAGAGCCTAGGAAGCCCTGCTCCATCCTCTTAATTTAGCACCATTATTCCTCTCTCAGGTCCTAGATGAGGCTGAATATCACCAGACAGTCCTAGGGCTGATCTGAGCAATATTCACTGCTTGGTGCAGAATAATTCTCCTACAGTGCTTTTCCACTTCAATTTTTACACAGCAAGGAGATCACTTGTGCATCTCAGAATCCCCTACTCTTTTTCTTTCTACACAGCTTGAGCTGAGCTTCCCCAAATCTTTGCAACCCTCTTGACAGATTAGTTATGAATTAATGCAATTTTGATTCAGGACTCCATTGTGCCCTCCTCCTAGTTCAGGCAGGCAGTCTGTGTTGAAACAAAAGGTTTTTTGAATACAACATAAATGTTCAGTCACTTGAGTGTTCATTCATAGCCCTATTACTTTTACATGCATGATCATTAAGAAAATAAAATTTAAACTCCTGAAGTGTGAGTGGAGGAAGTGACAGTGATATCACAGGAACCAGCCAGTGAGCAGTCTTCACGGCCAGATTCTGCAGAAACAGGAAATGTAGTTTTCCCCAGAGCTGGAGCCTTCCAGCAGGTAAATCCGCTCCTATCTCAACGGTCGATTCCAGAAGGTAGTGCTGGGGGACCATGTCTCTACGTCATGGCAGCTATGCCATGGAGTACCACAGGGCTCCATTCGATCCCCTCTGCTATTTAACATCTATATGAAACCGCTGGGAGAGGTCATCAGGAGGTGTGGGCTGCGGAATCATCAATACGCTGATGATACCCAGCTTTACCTCTCGTTTTCCACTAATCCAGGTGAGGCAGTGGCTGTGCTGAACCGGTGCTTGGCCGAGGTAAGGGAATGGATGAGGGCAAATAAACTGAAACTCAACCCAGACAAGACGGAGGTCCTGTTGGTTGGCGGATCAGGTTTCGGAGAGGGTGGATTTGACCTGGTCCTGAATGGTGCAACACTCCCTCTTAGGGATAAGGTCCGCAGCTTAGGAATACTCCTCGACCCA